CTAAACCCCATCATGGAAGAAGAATGCCGTGTTTACAACTTTGACAGTGAGCGCTTATCACGCTAGATTTTCAGAAGTATGTAAAGTTTGCAGCATAAACTCTTTTAAAATGCGTCCAAGAGTTTTACACACCGGTCTGTTATTGTAGGGACATTGACGTTTAATTTCCACGCATCTAAACATGACTCGGAACAAAACAAACCGTGATTGGCTGCTTTACATGTCAGTTAGACGTCCTCTGGTTGATACTTGTCCAATGAAAGCTGCTTTGGAGCCCAGATCTTCTGCCGTCATCTGCTTGGCTTTTATTAGCAATTGTTGGGGTTTTCTATTTGGTTGCCATGATGTTCAGACTGATTGTTTGGGACTTGCTGTGTGGTTGCTAAGGTGTTATAATTGGTTTCTAGGGTGTTGCTAGGTGGATTGTATGGTGTTCCGGGTTGTTAAGACATTGAGAGGATGAGTTTCTAGTGTTTTGGGTAGTTGGCTTTTAGGCAGTTGCTACAGTAGGTGTCATAGATGATTGCTAAGTAGTTTTTAGACCGTTACTAGGGTGTTCTAGATGGTTTCTAGAGCATTGCTAAGCAGTTGCTCATGTTTTCTTGATGACTCTTAAATTATATCTTTAGACTTTTGTGTTCTAATTGGTTTTCTCATTGCTAAGAGGTTGCTAGAGTGTTGCTATGCGATTTCTTGAGTGTTCTTGGAGGTTGCTAGGCAGTTGCTAGGTGTTATAGATGTTAAAGATAAATGGAGTGTGTTTTACAAGAAAATATAATTTCTACTTCAGAATTTCATGTTTAAATCAACCTGTTACTTGGCTTTTCTTTGTATTTTTGGGACAATTTCTGACTTCTGGATTGTTTTAAAGTAAATCCCACATGATTTTTTTCCAGTGTATTTTGGTTTTTAGGCTGTTTCCATGGTGTTTTAGATTTTGGACATTTCTGCTAGAAAATGTGATGAGAAATAAATCTCTGATGAGTCATCTTTGATTTCAGTATTTTAAAAATGCCACAGAGTCATATTGTTTACTTCTGTTGCAGGAATCAACCAATGAATCATTTGCTTGAAGTAGTCTATGCATATTAAGCCAAGATAGGAGAATGTGTTTTAACAGAAAAAAATTACACACATCACCTTAAAAGCTATAAAAATCACTCCAATAGTCCATTACAGCATCTCCGGCAGCGTGCTTTCAAATGGATGATCGTTCAGAGATAATGAGGTGTTATGTCAGCAAATGCAGTGTGCGTCTCTTCATTAGCATTAAGGTTAATGCAGATCAGAATGAAAGTCAGGATTAATGATTGTGTCAATCCGCACGACAATCAGCCGGCAGCTCGCTAGTTAGTTTGTACAACAACAAACTTTTAACTCTTAAGAAAAATAGAGTTTGTTGGGTCACATTTGCATTTGTAGCTTTGTGTTTACAGTCATTTGCAGATCATAAAACAGGATGATTCAGAGAAGAATGTCTGAACAAATGAATCTCTTGATTATGCTTGTATATGAGTTCGAGTGACACAAACTCATTTTGTCCGTCCTCATCTGTTTAGTGGCCGTTCATTCGGTCAGACTTTTCCTCAGCAAGGCCTCCGGCTCGTCATTCTCCTCCTCAATTGCAGCATCCGGCCTGAGGAGTGGCGTGATGGAGGGATTTTTATAACTGAGAGATATAAAAGAAGTGAATACCTGGCTCTTATCGTCCTGTATTTCACACACTCAATCTCTCTCTATTATTTTCTTGTTCTTTCTTTGTGTTTTCATCTGTATGGAAACACCTCGGGGTAAATGTTTATTGAACTCTGAAACTATTTTCTCTGTCCGGATCAATTCACCACGTTGCAGTCACAAACGGCTTCGCCTGTAAAATGGAACCTGGCGGCGGTGTGTGTGTGTGTGTGTTAGCGGTGTTTTTTATTTAGCATTGTGCTTTAATTTGTTGGTACAAATATTAGCACTGAGCATTAGCGGAGACTGGGGAAGTTGTCACAAGTATCTGGTTTTTGACTCAAAAATGCTCTTTTCTCAATAGCAGTGTTTTTATTATTTTATTTTATTACTTTATTATTTTATTTGATATCCTGTAAAGTAAATTCCAATACTGTCATATTTTTGTGATAGCTGTTGGATAAACAAAAGTGTTATTTTAGTATTATTTATTATAGTATTTATGAATATTTTGTTAATTAATATTATACATTTTCAGTTTTCATTTAAAATTTTTTAATAATTTGGTTCTGCTTTTTGTCATATTTAGTCATTTTTATTTACATTTATTTCGTTTCAGTTGGTTTTCAAGAAAACATTTTTTTTATCTAATATTAGTATTGGTATTTTTTTCACCTTTATCAATTAATACAAAATATTTTAATAGGTTTAGTTTAAGTTAATCGCAACACTGATAAACAAGTTAATATAATAAAGGCAAGAGTCAGGTCAATAAAGAATGTTAGATTTTACAATTTTGGCTGTTTGATTAACTTTTGTTTCAAAATTGTTTGAAAACCTGTGAGATAATGTGACAATTTACCCTATAAACTGTATCAAATTGTTTTTCCCTCATCAATAATAATAATAAAAAAAGTTATATATACAGTATATATGGAGTAAAATGTGTGATAATTAGTTCTGGTCTGCCATATTGCTCCCATATCTCTATATTTATTTTTATTTTTTTAGAATATATATATATATATATATATATCTTGAGATTTTTAACTAAATAAACCCAAGAAATAACATTAAATTGTTTTAACCAAAATAAGAATACTGTAACGATTTTCAAGGCTCAAGGAACAAGTGGCAACTGAAGAAGTTGGAACTGACAAATGATCAACATAACTTTAATAATAATAATAATATATACTTTTATATATGAATAATATATATATAATATATTATATAATATTAATAATGATAAACACTCTTTAGGAAGTTTAAGGGCCAAATAAAAAGCACATTAAATCTGTTGTGATAATCATAATGTTGCTTAATTTTATATTGCCAGAAAAATAACTGTAAATACTACCTAAACATTCACTATATCACCCAGCTCTAACAAATATACTAGTATCCCGCTCTGCTGGTCTAGCATGTTGGTTTGTCAGTTCCTGTGTATGTGTATGAGATCAGATAGGAGCAAAACCCTCAACACCTCTTCTCCTTTTTTTGTGTGAGAGAGAGAGATTACGGCAAAAAAAAAGAAAGAGAGAAGGAGACTCGAAGAGATGAAGTGATTGTAGAGACAGATAAGTGTGGACTTAGTAGAGATAAGCAGCCAGTAAACACACACAATAATCAATCACAGATTCTTCTCACCATGCGCAACATTATTGCTTTTTGAGTGTGTTTGTGTATGTGTGTGTTTGGGGGGTGGTGAGTCAGTATCCTTGCCTCACTTTCCGTCTGAACTATATTCCACATTTTTTCTCGCCGTAAGTTGTTGTGACAGCTCACACAACTGTGTGGTTTTCAGTCAGCAAACCTCGCCATCACTTTAACCACCAGCTGTCTCACTCACGCATTAGCATTGTGTTTAATCAGAGTGTGTGATGCAGTGTGTGTACAGTGTAAAACTGCACTTTCTAAGATAATGATGAGTCATCATTGAATTTACTTCCTGCCATATGTCCTGTCTTCCCCGCACCGGCCTCGCGGAAGAGAGAATGACACTAATGAGGGACTTCCTGTCATCTCTCCATTTGCTCGGGATCTCTCTGTACCTGAAACAGCGACAAGAGACAGACATGATTATTGCAGAACATCGTATTACTTTATTATGTGAGGTTTGAAGTTTTATTTCGAGTCCATCCGATAAAATCCCTGTCAAAACACACTCTCACATTTGTTAGACTGATGAGAGAGAAGAACTTTTTGCAGGTGTGATGGACGGTGGATGCTAAATTTGGCTTTTTTTTATTAGACATAAAAAGTTTCCACTCATAGTTCCTTTAAGCATTAACATTCTTCTCAGATGTTTCTCAAAGTCGAAAGTAGACGCAAATGAGAGCTTTAAAGTCACATGAAATCAATATTGACAATATTTTTTATTGCAACACGAACACGCACGCACATACACCAAATACAAATATGTATTTGTTTATTATTTATTTTCTTTGTTTTGTTTATTGTGTTTTCTTTGCATATAGGGAAATAAATAATATTGCAACTTCCGTTCCATGCCGACTTCAAAATGAAGGTGGATAGCATCTCAGAACAATTGGATGATAAATATTTAATTCTGATCGCTGACATCTGGGCAAATGTGCACTGTAAAAAAATATTGATGGTTTAACTTAAAAAGTAAGTAACCTGGTTGCCTTAAAATTTTAAGTTGATTGAACTGGAAAAAGTGAGTTAATACAATGAAGGAGAATAATTTAACCATCAGAAACTCAAAATGTTATCTGAACTAAATAAATTATTTAAGTTGATTTGACAAAATAAAAAATGTTGTGATTACTACACTGTAAAAAAATATTGTTGGTTTATCTTAAAAAAGTAAGTAACCAGGGTTGCCTTAAAATTTTAAGTTCATTGAACTGGAAAAAGTGAGTTAATACAATGAAGGAGATTAATTTAACCATCAGAAACTCAAAATTATAATGTTATCTGAACTAAATAAATTATTTAAGTTGATTTGACAAAAGAAAAAATGTTGTGATTACTACACTGTAAAAAAATATTGTTGGTTTAACTTAAAAAAAGTAAGTAACCTGGGTTGCCTTAAAATTTTAAGTTGATTGAACTGGAAAAAGTGAGTTAATACAATGAAGTAGATTAATTTAACCATCAGAAACTCAAAATAATAAGTTATCTCAACTAAATAAATTATTATAAAGTTGATTTGACAAAAGAAAATATGTTGTGATAACAAATTTACAGTGTGAGTACTCTGAGAAGTCTCTTGTGTAATTATGCTTTTTTGCTCTTTTGGGGAGGAGAATGGACAATGAAATACATTATAAAGTAAAATAATCCGTCTGTCTCTACAGGGGGTGAACAGCATGTTTCAGGTGGTCCTGACTGGAAATAACTCTGAGCACTTCAGCATCTCTCCCACCGCAGTGCAGGGCAGAGCTGACCTCCGCGTGCGAGTGGCCGTCCCGCTGGACTACGAAACCATCAGGAGCTACAGCTTTTCTGTGAGTGTTCATCCAGATTTACTTCACAATCCCTGAGTGATCTCATCAGTTTTTGGAGGGGCCGTTCAAAAGATTGAGGTCAATAAGATTGTTTAAATAGTTTTTTTTAAATCAGTACAGTAAAAACTATTTTAAATTTTAATTTTAATTTTTAGACAATTTTAAAACTGATTAAAATGTTATTAAAGGGATAGTTCACTTTGACATTAATTTTTGGTATGTTTTAGCTTACCTCAAGGGCATCCAAGATGTAGGTGTCTTTGTTTACGCAGTAGTTTCAATTTTGATATTTTTTAGGTCAAACGTTTTTGTCTGTCAGTCATATAATGGAGGTCTATGGTCACCAACTTCAAAGAGCATGCACCGATAAGTCCAAATTAAACATGATTTAATGACTCGTAAATGTAAGAACACATCGATGGCCTAAGACACGAAACGAGTTCAAGTTCCCAAATCTAAATCTGCTCTGTCTCTGTATTAAAGAGCCATTTTTTTTCTTTGACTTTGGAATAACATTCACTGATGAATTATTCACGATAAGATCAGGAATTTGCATGGACATTCATGTGGTCAATTTTGATATTATGTTAATTTTTTAAGGATGTGTGTTAAAATCAGTTATTGGAGTCAGGGAGCTTCTTCATCTTTGCCTGGAGAATGTAATATGAGATGCAGACAACAGTACAGTACACATTAAATGAACAACAGTAAAGCTCTGTCTTTTCTCAACTTCTGCTTAGAATACACTGAGACTAGATGCTTGGGTAGTGTTTTTAAGGAAATAAACACAGAGGTTTAGACTGGGGAAAATAAAATACAAATCGATTATTGGCAGTGCTGTCATGCTGCTGGAGTTCAGCTTTGTTTTTACAGTTGATTTAGTTTAAATGACTGGAGCTGCTCCCTACAGCGATGGACTTAGCTTAGCTGAACTGACAAATGACTGCAATCTGCACCGGCACAAAACACACTCAGAAACGTACAGGAGATTCCTTCAAACGGACACTTGTTTCTTGCAAACATCTGTTCTAATTCATCTAAAAGTCATGACTCAATTGAGCATTTGGAAAAAAAATATTAAAAAGTGATTTTACTTGGAGAGAATGTTTTTGTCTCTTTCACCATCTTTCATCAAACGTATTTGAAATAATTGTTTGAAATGATTAGAAAAAAAATGCTTTAAGCAATAAAATCATGGCCTCCTTTTGAGAAATGTATCATACACTCAGAATACTGTATATGTTGTTTTCAAATGCACTGTGACACAACAGCAAACATCATAGACATGTCAGCACATCATCATATAAAAGTGATATAAAACGAACACCAATTTTGGTTTTGTTCCAAAGTCTAGTGGGCTGTTTAATGCCTAGGCTGAAAATCGTTCAATATTTTTTCAGTATTTAATGAAATATGTTTTTTTTTTTTTCCATCTTGGATGGAAAATAGGTTTTTGGTGTTGATGTTGTTGATGGTGATGTGGCTGTGGTTTCATTGCCACTCTTTTCTCCAGCTGTATGCCAACGAGTCTCTGTCAGAGCATGTGGGGTTTGCTCGGGTCTTCATCGACCTCATCAATGAGAACGACAACAGGCCGATCTTCAGCCAGGCTCTTTATAACATCAGTTTACTTGAGAGCACCGCTCCTGGAACATCTCTACTGCAAATAAAGGTGAACACACCAATCGCTTTGAATTTGGATTTTTGAAAAGTACACTCTATATAGTAGGAATGTATGTAGTATGAATGAAAATACTATTGTATGGTGTGCACATGGTATCACATGGATGAATAATCATATGCAAATTAAATGAAGATGAGGATATATGGTTATTTCGGGATGTGCGAGTATTCTTCCGCTGACTGGGATTTATAAAGTGAATTTTTGCGCAGGTTCTGGCGTACGAACGGTTTAAATATTTTTTTTACGTACGCCATTTTTGGCTTTCGGTGCACGTACACTTTTAGTAAGGATCCTACGCACAGTTTTATAAATGAGCCCCCAGAGCTGCTCCGAGAGTCATTTCACAAGCATTTCTAAAAACAAAAACCAAAAAAAAAAAAAAAACGTCTACATATATTGTCGTATCAAATACACCCTCTGTGTCTATCATGGCAACAACGTGATTATACATTAGGATGTTAGGATTCTCATCTAAGTCTTTGACATCCATAAGATTCCTCTCCCTTTCACGGCGTCACGTCATTTGATTTCAGCACACAGTCTGTTTCCAGAGCGCTGAAGGTCATCCCACACTAGGAGTATAAATCACTGTGAACAACCACATGCAGCTCATAAATCCAGCCTATTATCACTCTCCCTCTGTCACTCTCACTCATGGACGCTATGGAGATCAATACTGATCGATACGCAGTCCAGGCTCTGGATTCAGGTGCAGGACTGGTGTCTGCAAGCTAGTCCTAATCATAAAAACTCATTCTAGTTCAGAGCTTCTGCGTTGTGAGGAGGCAGTCCAAGAGCTCAAATGCACAGAAACAATCAGAAATCAGGGCGTCATTTGTTGGAAAAGCCACTTTGAACTTTTAAACAAAACTTTTCTGTTTAATATTGAAGGGGTTGAGTCAAGTTTTCCTTGATGTTTTGAGATCACTATGAACACACTGTAACTTTCAGAACTTCCTCTGCAGTCCAAAAGTAAAACAATAACATATTCATTGGGAAATAATTAGTCAGAAATTTGGCCTGTGATTAGGATGGATTTGCAAGGTAATGTATTCATAAAAAAACGCATGTATTATTACCTCACTGACAACGTTAGATGTTTCCATCTCTCTGATCATTTTAGTTGGACTTTATTATAAGTGGAAGATTAAACGTGGACTACAATGGGAAAAATGTAAATGGGAAAAAGTATGACCCCTTTAAAAGGGCCAAAATGATCAATCAAATGCAAGACAGACATAATTTGGATGCAACCAGCTCAAAGGTAGGTACGGTAGTTTCATAAAAGGGTCAGAGAATGTGAAACATGCAAATTATGACTGTTTGGAGATACTTTGACTCGAAAAAGATACAATTATAAACTGCATGTGTCTTTTACACATCTTTTTTATGTGTGTGGTGCCCTAGACACACTTTTAACTCTTTCAACTCTAACACTATTTATCCTCAATAAATTGCATTTTTTTTGTTACTTTAATTTTAATGAAAATAAAAGCACAATGGAAAAAAATAAACAAACAAAAGCGTATGATGGTCCTATAATAAGTTTAATTTAACAAAATGTTATTGATTTTGGGTAGAGCATTTCAGTTCAGTTTGGGGTCAGTCAAAAGAAGTCAAGGTGCTCAACTAGGCTGCATTTATTTTATATATACATATAAGTGTGTGTGTGTGTACACACACACTCATACACACGCACACATACATGTATATCTTACTGACCCCAAAGGATTGCATGTAATGGCATCTCTAGCTCTTGTTCTCTCTCCATCTCTGAATGAGGCATGTGTGTGTGTGTATGTCGATAAATGCTGTCTGCTCTTTGTCACTGGTTCACTCATGGCATGTAACGGCCTGTAAAGTCAATAGAGTTACTTTACCCACAATGCCCTGAGGAGCAGCTGAAACACAACTATGTGGCAGCAGCCTTATGATTACTCACTGTCTTTTTCTTTGTTTTCTTTTCTCTTTTTTGCAATGTCTCGACTCTCTCTTTTCCTCACCAATCATCGCTTTCAAACAGCTGCTATAAAGAGCTTTTTCTTAGTTTCTTCACCTAAACCTTTAACACTTTCACATTGTAGTGTTGCAGTCAATGTTATTTCCTTCAGGAATTGCAGATGTAGTTGTGTCTGTATCTCTTATTTTCTCTCTGAGGCTCAGTGTGTGTTAAACAGATGTCTGGACTGCTGCTAACTCACTTGAGCAGTTTAGAAAAAACACACATCCATATGTTCCAACATATACATTTACATAACTGCACTCTCAGAAAAAAAGGTACAAAAGCTGTCACTGGGGCTCTACCTTTTCAAAAGGTAAACTTTTGTCCCTTTTAGGTGCTAATATGAAGAGTTCAGATGCAAAAGCCTCTAAGTGCCATTTGAAATTTTCTTCTAGAATGATAATTTTTATCAAGCATGTATATTTAAGTTCAGTCATTTCACTTAAATGGCAATGATAATTACCTATTAATTGTTATTTAAGTGAAATGACTGAACTTAAATATACAAGTATGATAAAAAATCATCATTAAAGAAGAAAATTTCAAATGGCATTTAGAGGCTTTTGCATCTGAACTCTTCATATGTACATTTTAGGTGCTAATACTGTATGTCCATTTCATGAGCTAATATGTCCATTTTAGGTGGTAATATGTAGATTTTAGGTGGTAATATGTCAATTTTAGGTGTTAATATGTACAATTTAGGTGATAATATGTACATTTTAGGTGCTAATATGTCCATTTCATGAGCTAATATGTACATTGTAGGTGCTAATATGTACCACTAAGGTACCAATATGTAGCCTTTGGATACAAAAGTGTACCTTTTGAAAAGGTACAGCCCCAGTGACAGCTTTTGTACCCTTTTTTCTGAGAGTGTGCTAGATACCTGTCGGCTCGTTATGACGGATGCTCAATTTTTCTCAATTTGTTTAAACTATAATGTCATTTTTAGGATTTTAAAATTGCACTCAAATGTTGCTTGTTGTTTAGCCAACCATTATATACCTAACCATATATATATACTGTATATATATATGAAGAGTTCAGATGCAAAAGCCTCTAAGTGCCATTTGAAATTTTCTTCTTTAATGATGATTTTTTATCAAACTTGTATATTTAAGTTCAGTGATTTCACTTAAATGGCAATGATAATTACCTATTAATTGTTATTTAAGTGAAATTACTGAACTTAAATATACAAGTTTGATAAAAATCATCATTAAAGAAGAAAATTTCAAATGGCATTTAGAGGCTTTTGCATCTGAACTCTTCATATGCACTTTCAAATTTCCAGCTCCAAATGCCTACATCTGCTATGTTTTATGTCTATTAATGCTATTAATCTTACATGCTCACAGCGTGTCTGTGTATCTATTAGCAGTAGCAAGTCTATACTTGATCAAGTCCACCGTCAGTACCAAATACATTAACATTTCTATATTCAATGCCATATGTCGTTCAACCCCTACTAGTATATATTTCTTTTTATTTCAAGAAAACGTTCAGACTCGCATTAAGCCAAGTGCTGGAGCAGATCACTCTGTCAGAGCTGATTGTTCTTTAAATGCTGTTTTTAGTCTTTCTTTCAACTTAATCTGTGCCCGGGAACCCAGCCCAAAGAGCTTAGACTCTGAGTATCTGGATTGTGAGCTATCAGTGTGTTTGAAAGACCACTTGAGACACGTTCTCCCTTAAAAGAAGAGCTCACAAACCCAAAGGCCATATCACTCCACAAATCATTCATCTCTATGCCACTAATGCCACCAAACAGAATTAAATTGAAAATTAAATGGCCCAAATGCTATAACATTGGAATATGTAAGGGCCGGTGTCAATTGGGCCTATCAACTATCATTTAAGGATTATACGAAGTACATAGGAACGATGTTAATTTAAAATAAATAATAAATAATAGCCTATTAAGTGAATAATTTCATTACATTCCTTTTTTAAATTAAATATTTGGACATTTAACACTTCATTTAACGCCTAAGTACATTAAAGATGATTGTTAATGCTTGCAAGTGCAAGTACGTGTATTAACTAAGCTATCAGGCTAATTAGGGTATCTGTGTGTTATTCTCTAGGATAAGTTAACTAATCCAGACATTAATGGCCATAAGAATGTAGTTTAAACCGCATTTACCATAACATGATTTTGTAGGAATTGTGATCAGGCGCTTAAGACAGTACCTATTAAAAGCCAATGGGAGAGTACCTATCAGAGACCCAATTTTGAGGAGGATCTGATGTGTCACCACACTGTAAAAAAATATTGATGGTTTAACTTAAAAAAAGTAAGTAACCTGGTTGCCTTAAAATTTTAACTTCATTGAACTGGAAAAGGTGAGTTAATACAATGAAGGAGAATGATTTAATCATCAGAAACTCAAAATTATATGTTATCTGAACTTAATAAATTATTTAAGTAGATTTGACAAAAGAAAAAATGTTGTGATTACTACACTGTAAAAAAATATTGTTGGTTTAACTTAAAAAAGTAACCTGGGTTGCCATCATTTTAAGTTGATTGAACTGGAAAAAGTGAGTTAATACAATGAAGGAGAATGATTTAATCATCAGAAACTCAAAATAATAAGTTATCTCAACTAAATAAATTATTATAAAGTCTTTGACAAAAGAAAATATGTTGTGATTTTTTTTTTTACAGTGCATAAGTACACTGTAAAAAAATATTTTCAAGAATTGTTATCACAACACTTTTTCTTTCGTCAAATCAACTTAAATAACTTATTTAGTTCAGATAACTTATTATTTTGAGTTTCTGATGATTAAATCAATCTCCTTCATTGTATTAACTCACTTTTTCCATTTCAATCAACTTAAAATTTTAAGGCAACCAGGTTACTTAATTTTTTAAGTTAAACCAACAATATTTTTTTACAGTGTAGATACAATAACTACATTATTATTGTATAAATAATAATTATATTTGCATTATTTTGGTACTTCTAGTTGCATA